TTTTTTTTTTTAATTTTTATTTTTATTTTTCTCAATCTAATCGAGAAACAGTTAAATAAAAATAAGGTCATGTGAATCACGCCGAGGAATGGCTACGTTGTTCGTGGAAAAAATTTCCAAGCGTATATTGTAATAACTGTATTATAACATATTTAATAACTGGAATGTTTCGAGAACGGATTAACATTTCTTGGCAATTTTGATACGAATATACATACGTATGTGTATATGTCACGACCTACTTCTATCATACGTGTGATTCTGTATACTACCATTTGAAATATCAACGCGTACTTTGACTCGACATTTAATTAGAAAAGGTCTTTCAAATTGTGCCCTTCAGATTTTTTTTTCCAAATCACCTGGACCATCAAAGGAGTCAATTTTAAGGGACATATCTCCACGTACGATCTCTTTTGAAAGAAAGAAAAAACTGCCCAATCACGTTAGAAATGAGATTAACCAGCTAAATTAGCTCTCGATTACAAGATCTTGATCGGAAGAGAAGGAATTCCACAGAACGTAATGTCAGAATTCCGTGAACTAAAGATGATCTCTCTCGATGTCCCAGTGAAGGCCGAAGATGAAACGTCGATCGTCACGGTTCTAGCAGTCTCTTTTCCCCCCAATTGCGTTTTTGTCGCTCGGTGCCGTTCGTTTACGGACGAACAGGTGCTGGACGAATGATACCGAAACGTTACGTGCACTCGATAATAACGTCACGGAAGATTTAGCTATAGCGACTGGTTTTACGGCTGCCGATTGCACGTTGCTCAGCCCTCGAGGACTTGGACGATGGCATTTATATCTCGCCAATTGTCGGCTATGTTTAGAACGTTCGCCTCCTCTGATTTAATCTCGATGTCAAACACGAAGGTTTACCTCTCCTTCGAGAAAACGCTCGATCGATGAACGAAACCTACCTTTCACAGTCGATTAACAATTTATCTTCTATCTTCTGTAGTTTCTGGCGCGTTTTATTTTATTTGTTTGTCTCTAAGGATATATATTCAACGTCCCGTTATTTTCAACACGTCGTTCAAAATATTTGAAGGATCGTTCTCCGTGCCACTGCAATATTTGTTCTCGTTTCTAGATAATTTTTAATCGTCTAGAAGTTCAGTAATGATCCTCTAATTATCATATAGCAGTACGTATATATCCATTTTTTACAAAAATTTGATACAAGAAGAGTCTCAATGACAGGGATGATGTAAGATAATCATTCTCTAAATTCTTCGTCATCTTGACGAACAGTGTCAAAAGATCAGAAACTCCTTCCCCGAAATTGTTCGATAAACTCAAGATCAGCATTCGAACAACCAGTCCGATTTCCTTCCTCCGCATCTGCTTCACAACTTGGTCGGAGAGACAGTTCCAAAGTTTACCGCTTATCGCTACTTTTACATTATCCTCGAAGCGTAATTCTCCGTACAACTCGTGGGTTCTCGTTTCGAGAATGGCTGCGACACAGGCCGACCGCAAGAGAGACGAAACCGCAGGACATTAATAACGATTACCCTATCTCCCTCGGCCTTCTATCTAACGGCTCCGAGGAATCGACGATCAGAGACCTTGCCCCGTCATCGGCGACAAAATGAAATTAGTCACGTCGGGGGAAACACAACCACGTTCCTCACGCAGCCTTCGAGGAAACAAACGCTCCAGTGAAAAATCCCTTGTACCGAGTACCAAGTCACTCGTACGAAACACGTACTGTAATCGAATGATTCACGAAATTTGATTTTATAACTATCAAATAACAGATTTCGAGGAATTCGTCGATTTTGCCAGGAGTTGATAGGAGATACCAATGAGTATTTATATGTTTAGAAATTCAGAGTCAAGTTCTTAATCATAGAGGATTATCAAACAATCTTCAAAATAGGACTGCTATTCATTCACCCCAAACCAAAAGGTCATCTCGATTCAAATCGAAAAGTTAGAAAAGGGTCTTTTTTTTTTTTTAAATATTCGCTAGAACAATTCCGTTTTACCGGAATCTCGTTGCCATCACGGCGGTGTTTCGTAACGATATCGCGATGCGCGACGCGTTTGAGGGCGGCACCGATGGGGCGACTGGCCATTAAACAGGCAAGGACCTCGCGGCGGTGCTGCAACAGGAAGAAAAAGGAAGGACGTAAGGACAGGTCTGCCGTGATTATAATAAAATCGCAGTTTGTTCCTGGTCGGGGCCGCGGCATGTTCCCACAAGGCCCACTACTGGCCCACAGTCCACCTACCGTGGATCCGCCACGATAACTCGTCGTACATTTTGCATATGCGCCGCGCCGTTTCGGTCAACGGACTCGCGCAAGTGAATCGAGAAGGTGGTCGATCGAAATGCCCGGATACGGTTTCGAGAGCTCGTAGGTCAGTCGATTCCTTGCCTTCTCCACTGTTTGGTTTCCGCTATTCTCTTCTCGCTAGTTTCTTCGCCTTTTACAGAGCTTACAGAGAATCGGGAAATTTTGTTTCAGGCTAGATATGCTGAATATATTTTTGGTACTCTCAACTAGTACCAAAAATATTTGTCAAATATTTATTTATAAATTTATAAATATTAATATTTATAAAACTATTCGCCAAAAATTTACTTTCGCAGTTTTCTATTGATTTTATTCTTGGTAGAAATTTGGTTCAAACTTTA